AGTTTTAGTTGATTGCTATCATCTTTTCTTTATAAACAATTTATAACCTTTTATTTGATAGTCAATGGATTAATGAACATTTTATATTCTATATGTTTAAATTGTTGGGATTTTTAATGGTGTGAATGAAAATGAAATGGGAAAAATCCAAGAGAATCTCTTGAAGTATCATGTTAGTAAGCTGTGGGAAGACGTTGCCGCAAATTCGGTCTATTTGATGTAATATGTTGGTAATCGGTAATATTGGTTTGTGTAACCAACCGGACCAAATCGAGTTGAATCAAATCGAACTGAACCAATATGGCATTTGGAATAACCAAATCGGTCCAACTGCCATGGGCTGAACCGATGCAATGGTTCATTATTTTAAAACGAACCAATGTGTTGGTTGAAGTATAACCACCCATATGAAGAGTCGCCTCCCTTCGTACGCACCCCTTCATTTTCTATAAATAGCACCTAACTCCCTCTGGTTTTTATATACATATTTCTGGTACCAAAACTCTCCTAAAATCCAAAGCTAGTTTTCTGCATTCTTTTCGAAGAGAAAAGCGAGTCAAGTGTGGTTCTCGTCGGTTTGATGCGTTCGATGGTTTTCGGGGTTTGAGGTATCGCTACGCCGGAAAAGATACGTCCTTTCTATCTTTTGAGGAATCATTCCATAACCTTGGATACTAGAGGGGAATAAGATTCCTTAAGGAGGGAAAGTGAATTCTGCCGGCTAGGACACTTGCATATGTGTTTGCATGATTTCATGATCTTATATGTTTCTTGTGTTGATTACATGATCTTAATTTATTACTTGTTCAACAAGAAAATAGTATACGTGAAAAATATCCTCAACATGAATGTTATGTAGTTTTATTAATTTTAAAATTTTTGATCAGGGAAAGGCGTCTCCCAAATTTTTTAAAGTTTTTTTCAAAGGGTTAAGTCTATCTTTACAAAAGTGCAAAGTTTACCAATCAAGACATGTTTGATTCTTTAAAAAATTTGCAATATTGTATTGAGATATAAAGTGTGGGGTAAGTCCAACACGTGAGCCATCTTTTCATTGCACTAAAATCTGATTTTGGAAGAGATACTAGTTGAGATTTGGCGGGAAGTCTTTCAAGGTGATGTTAGTTCCTCTCTAGTACAAGTAAAATTTTCACCCGTCCAACTGATTGCCTACTTAAGGATGTGTTCTTAAAGGTACGGATAAATATTCTCACATCCCTTAATTTCATTGACCCTCTAGACGAGCCGAGGTATAAGTACTTCTAAGTTCTTGTTCGACCAATAAGGGTAAAGTTCAAAAGAAATCTCCACTCAAGAAAATTAAGAAAAAAACAAATAGTTGGAAGGAAATGTAGAAAATAAAAAAAAAGAGTATGTGGTTGTGAAGGCAAAAGCGTTTAATGGATATGTCAAGTTGATGGTAGAAACATTCAAAAGTTCAAAATATTTATCAAAAGCTGCATCCTTGTGTTTTGAGACTCTAATGCATGTTAGTGTGTTTATGTACTATTTGATTCCTTTATGTTATTGTTTTGTTCTTTTAGAGGATATAAACCACTCAAGATAATTTTGGATCAAGAATAGACATTAAGAATCAGAAGTAGGAGGAGAATAGAAACTCATGGGCCCAAACAGAGATGGATTGGACATCAGATGCTCACTTTAAGCTCAAAACAAGCAGAACTTGTAGTGAAGCATATCACAATTTGACCAATTCCCACAAATTTTTTTATTAGTAACTGCCGCTCTACAAGTTGGAGGAGGAATCCACTGGGCCAGAATCTACTCAATCCAAGTGAAAGGAGAGCGACGGCCGAACAACACTCATTATAAAGCTTCTAGAAGACTTCCTAAAGAAGCTACTTCGTTCACAAGTCAAAGGAAACCCAGTTCAAATTGGATAGGGACAAGTTGACCGACTTTTAGGAGTGATAAGATTAGAAAACCCCCTTCTATAACTAGTATAAATAGAGGCATAAGCCTACACAATCTTTACCAGCACTCTGCCCCTCTGGGCACAAGTAGCAATCCATAGAACAGGAGGAGAACCCCTGCTGAAGCTCGACTAGAAAGAGTTCATCATCGATGGTTGTATCGATGGTGATTTCGTTCCACTCTCCTTTGTGTTTCTATTCTATCTGTTTAAGGATATGAATTCTATGATGATTGTATATCACTTTATATGAATCAATTAGATGCTCAACTCGTTTTATGATATGGAGCATTGATGTTTTTTTGTTTTAGATGCTTTATCAAATGCATGCTTCAATCATCTTTTTCCTATGATCATCGATGCTCTTTATCATATGATGTTTTCATTGATATATGTGTGAGACTCTACTATGCTTGTTACTATAGTTATTGTTTATAATACTATTATGAGAAACAAGGAACGTAATCTCGTGTAGTAGGTTATCATTCTTAGGCATGTATAGGAGGATTAGCTACCTCTATGCATGACTAGGGAAGACGCTTGATTCTTAGATCATCGATGCTATAGATTGGATTTATGGTTCGTAAAATCCCACAATTAAATGTTTGTTGTCCTAACTTCCTTATTCTTCATTGATTAGGTGATGGCATGAAGCGAAAGCACGCATTAGCTTGTAAAATCTCTATTGTAAGTGGAGCGTGCACGAGTAGGGGGTAACCTTAGAGGAAGGGATAGGGGATCATATTAGAAGATTCTTAGATGCATCTTATTGAGGAGATTGTATGCATGACCATCTAGGAGGAGCTACCTAAACATTAATATTCTTGCTTGCATCTTTATTTGTTTGTTTCTTGCATAGTAGTTTTGGAATTCGAGTAGAGGCACATCAATCCACTTAGTTTTACTTTCTTTCATTGCATCCATTCGAATACAATTGGTTAGGTTTGAGTAGTTACTTTTGATAGGACCTATGAACTACGACCTTAGATACCTCTAGGAATCTAAAACTCGATACTACACGATTAGTGAACGTAGAAGCTTCAGTTTTTTTTCCAATTTATATGGGTTTCAGACATGGTGATTCCATGTCCTCCTTCTATTTATCTTTTTGATGGAGTTTTATCTGCCATCTTGAAACCTCTTGAAGCTTATGATTTAGTTGTAGTTGTCTTTGTGAACGAGGAATTAAGGATTGTGGAGGTCTCTCATATCCTTTATGTTGATGACACCTTACTTTTCTGCGATGCTTCTAAGGAGTAGGTACATTTTCTCCTCGTGGGTTTGGCACTCTGTGAAAGCATCTCATGACTTCATGTAAATTTTCACAAGAGTTATATGATATTACTAGGAGACGTGGAGGATCCAGAGCATTTAGTGGATGTTTTATGTTGCAAATTGGAAAATCTCCCAACTATTGATCAATTGCTTCCCTGGCAGTGAGGGAACCAATTATTGATAATTTTCAGAGCTTGTTTGGATCTTACATGCTCCTTCGAAGAGGCATGATCATCACAAATTGGTGCTCTCTGTGCAAGTGTCAAAAAGAGACAATTTGTCGTCTCATGGTCGTATGTTCATTTTGGAAAATGTTTGGGCGAGCTTCATGACACTCTTCAGTTACATGTCCCTCTTCCATCAATGATACCATCATTTCTTCTGGCTTGGAGAGGGTTAAGGTATGACCTAAAGCTTAGTAATTGTATGAATGTTCTTCCCCATGCGATGTTTTGGTGTATTTGTATGGACAGAAACAAAAGAATATTTGGGAATGTCCAATCCTCCCCAATTGAAGTTCGCCACAAGATTCGTCATGCGATTGGTAGATGGCTTTTTGCGTTCAATATTATCTCAGATAACTTCTTTCATAAATGGGAGATTGAAGTTAGCTAACAAATTGTTCTTTTTCTTTGCTTCATTGTGTTCTCTTTCTTTTCTTTTTTTTCTCGAGACTTGTTTGGGTTTGCTAATTTTGTGGTTTCTTTTCTTTTCTCTTTTGCATCATGATTACATTTTTTCGTGTCTTTTTTTCCGATTGATGAGCTCCTATTCTAGAAATTATGTATTTGGATGGTCAGGACTGTTTCTTTGGATCGGGAATTCTGAGGATCGACAAAGAAGAAAAACGAAAGCAAGAAACGAACAAAACACACAAATTTAAGTGGTTCACTAACACGATGTGTGTTAGTTAGTCCACGGGCAGAAGAGAGCTAGTTTCACTACACTTAGAAGAGATACAGATTACAGAGTAGTATGAGAAGTATTTATAGTACATCTCCATGTGGTCTAACCCTAATCCAATATGATAAAAGAATAAGGTTACAAACTAGGTTCAAATCAGAAGTCCAAACATGTATCGGCCGATAGTCCAATTTAAATCATATCAACATGGATTTTCTTCCTTCCTTTTATTGTTCTCAAGTTTGACCTCCTCCTCATTGTTCTTTATAGCAATATAAGTTTGTATCATCATTCATAAAAGAGAGAGAGAGAAAGAGTAAATTGTTGCTTTTCATTTCGTCGTAGACCAATTATAATCCGAACTATGTTTTGCAAGAAGCAAAATCTATGTGTTTCATAATCAAGGGTATAAACAAATAAGGTTCCTTCACAAAGACTAATCTTCGCTTTAGCATCGGTAAGTAAGTGGTTAGAACATATGTATGGATCTCTTCCAATAACTTGATTTATTGGTATCAATTTATTCTTCACATAGTATCATAGATCGTATTCACGACCTTCAATATATAGTTTTCTCAAAGCACGTGGTATAACATGTATGTGAAAATTTCAAGTCCATCGATTAAATTTAGTTTGAGAGAACATTTAAGAAAATAATTTACATCCATAGGTAAATCTCTCTCAATAGCTAGCTTGAATTATTAAGATGAATTGGATTGTGATCATATCCAGCTAAACTTAAAACCTGCTTTTATGTATGCATGCAAGTGAGCTTTATTAGCACCGAAATAGTTAAATATCAACTGCCAACACATTAATAATACACTTACAATATTGGAAAATTAGGGTTTAATAGATCCGTTATTCACTCTGAAGTAATCAGAGATATACAAAATTAATAATTATATTGACCTACTTTTAGACATTAGTAACTATAGAACACCCAAACTGTGGATCATCCGAACATCAACTGTTGCCGCGAAGCTTAACAAGAACTTAATGCCACCATCAACCGTACAAGAACTCTTCTTCTTCTTCTCCTCTTCTTTAGTAGTACTACTACTACACTCGAACATCTGGTTCGTCCACCGCTGCACCTTCCCCAAAACGACACCGTGCAATCCTTTCTTCTTCCTCTCGTCCGACGATTCCTCCTCCCTCGTGAAATTATAGCTCCTGAGGTACCTCTGCCTCCACACGTAGACGTCCGGGCTGCTCGTATTGTTCTTCCACCCGCCGCTGAACAATGATTCGTACGAAGAAGAAGAGAAAATACCCGCGGTGTTGTTATTGCCATTATTTGCACCTCGTTCTTTCTCCATGCAGAGGTTGATGATGAATCTGGCGTGCGCTTTGTGCCAATCGGGTTTGATCGACCTTCTTTCTGGAAATTGGTTTTCTCCATCTACGCAGACCTTCGAGTTGCCGCTCATCACCATTGTTACTCTATCTCTCTTTCCCTCTCAACTCCTATTTTGTTATGTGAGTAGGAGGACGGTGGTCTCCTTCCTATTTATATTAGATCGGATGTCCTTATTTGTGTTGTGTTCGGAATTCAGTTAATGCTTCCGCCCAAAACCATATAGGATAAGGATAATGTTCTAATGATAATGATTTAGTTAACTTCACAATTAGTGTTAACATACGAATTAAATAATCTTATTATTTATGACCAAATTTCTTTTGCCCTTCCTTTAAACCCTAATCGTGGTCTTAATTGTCCACCAAGTAGCTTTTAGCCTAGAGATAATACATTTACGTAAAAATGACTCCATGTATATATCAATTTGACTTTCATTGTTTGATGACAATTAATTAGAGGCTGGGGTGAATGTTAATTAATATTGATATATTCTTCAACCAGAATTTTGGGTAAATTATAAGTTTGGTCACTGAGATTATTTAAAAATTTCATGTTTGATCACTAAAATTCTATTATTCATTTGTGGTCACTAAAATTAGTTAAATAGTCAATATTTGATCACTCTCCATTAGCCTCCGTTAACACCATCAGTTTATTGTTGATATAGCTGACATAATTGCCTAGTCAACCAATTTTAATCCAAAAAAATTAAAAATCAACCTGCCATGTCATTAAACCATTATTGTTTTTAATTACTTTCTAATTTATTATTGGCCATTATTATTATATAATTGAATTCACAAGCACTTTTCACTGTTCATTGAGGAAAAAATAGGTTATTTTCTCTTTCGGCGGTAACAACTAATTCTAAAGTACGGTACAACCAGTTCTGCGGTAAGTCCTTTTTATCCTAAATCATAAGAACCATAATAAATTAAATCCTATGTTATTATATAATTATATTATTGTTAACTAAAATATTTAACATGTCATCAATTCGCACTATGTAACGGTTCTTCAAGGTCAGTTGACTTTGGCATAACAAATTTAGCAATATATTATTTTCTAAATTTAATTTTATTATTAGATCACACGTTATAAAATATTTATGTAACAACATTCTATAACAGTACATACATAACGTTATATAACAGTTACAAAAATTATAAATTCATTTATAAAATTTATAGACACTATATAAATTAAAATTTATAGCGGGATAGTTGTTACGTAAGCAAAGATATTAAAAGACTTTCCTTAATGATGAAAAAATTATGTAAAAATAATGAATATACAGTCATTTTGTATGTATCTATTAAACAAAAAAATTAAATAATGTAAGCAAAGATATTAAAAGACCTTCCTTAATGATTAAAACATTATGTAAACATAATGAATATATAGTTATTTTGTATGTATCAATTAAACAACAAAATTAAATAAGTTTTCCATAATGATTAAATGCAATGTAATTATTATATATAGATAATTATTTATTATGTATCACTTAATCAAACGCATGACATATGTTATTTGAAATTATTAAGATACTAACTGAAACTTATGCAGGTATCTTATCTGTATAATTTTGTAAAAAGGTATTTTTACACGACTAAGATCCTCTAATATCGGTAAGTAAGTGTTCAAAACCTTTTTACAGATCTCTCCAATAATTTTATTTCTTAATATAAATGGATTCTTTACATGGAATGAAAGTTAATCTATAATGGCGGATATAGGGGTGGCCAACCCGGGTCACGGCTAGGGATGGCAATGGGTCGGATTGGGTAGGGTTTTGTCAAACCGAAATTCATGGATTTATCCATAAAAAAAAACGGGGTAAAACTCACTGGGTTTGGAAAACTCAAGCCCATCCCAAACCACTGGGTATCTGGGGGTTTATGTGTACCCATAAGTTTTTGTCGTAAAAAAATTACAATAACAAGTTCCTATCAAAATAAAAGTTAAATATCAATCTCTCAATACAAATTATTCATATATAAAACACCATTCTAGAAAATTCAAGTAAATAACAAATTAACCATATAAATTATTCAACACCAATCTAGATTATTCAAGAAAATTAAAGTAAATCACAAATTATCCATAAACAACATGATTAATTGAAATCTTCTTTCTCCTTGTCAATTAAGTTTCTTCACTCTCGACTCGATAATATCAACTTCATTCTACACAATCAGAAAGAAAAAATTAGACATGTCTCCACAAACATAAAGAAGATTAGGTTCTTAGAATATTTAATATCCGGAAAAAATTAATTATATGGGTGTGGGTGGGTATCCATGGGACGGGTATACCTAAACCAAACCCAACCGAACCTGATGAATAGGGAATGAGTTTAAACCTAAACCCGGCCCAAAACCCGTCAACACGGATTTTACCCTCGTTGATCGGGTTGTGTCGGATAGGGTACCCGTGGGTTCGGGTTTTGATGCCATCCCTAGCCACGGCTCACCCCTCCTCCAGGTCCAGAGCAAGTATAGCAAACGAGATCTGCTTGCTTCCAATCCTCTCTACCTCGTTCGGCTCAGTGCTCTATTTTTCTATTTAAATAAAGTCTGGGGCATAGCTAGGATTTCGTATGAAGTGGGTCCATATCAGAAAAATACATATTATAAAACTATTTTGTTAACTTTTTCAATCATCTATGACGTAATCATATATTTGAAAAAATTCAATAAATTAAAAAGATACAGGTAGTCGAAATTTCTATAAAAAAAATCTCTGTGTGTGTACTAAATAATTATTCATCATTTAGTTAGTCGTTTGCTTTTGAATAATGTTCTTTGTCAAGAACCATTCAATAGCAATAACTCGAGTACTTGTGACAAATTGAAATAATAAATCTTAGGACTTTGCTATAGTGACTTGAAATTTCCCGTAACTTGCACAAATAGGTCGACCAGAAAGTATTAAAGGTCGACCGAATCTACTGTTTCTGTTTTGTTGTGTTCAACAAAGCGGTCCACCTTGTACATGAAATGGTCGACCTCTTTGGCAAGCAAATAATAAAAAAGGTCGACCTCAATCCTAAAGCGGTCAAATTTTCTACCTCATTCATTCAAGGGTCGACCTCTAATATTGCATTACCTTAGCAACATCGAACTTAGAATTATCTAGTGGTTGGCAACAAGAAACGGATATTTGGGTATTACCCCTACCCGTCCCATTTTTTTAGGGTTATGGGTACTCAAATACCAGCTTTATATATTACGGGATAGGACTTGGATTAAGAATTTCGACATTGGGTACCCACGGGTTACCCGCTAATACCCGTTTGGGTAGTATGGATACCAGTAATACCCATTATACCATATCTCAAAGCCCGACCACATGAGCAAACTATAGGCGAGTGTAATAGATATGCGATATGAATTCCGATCTTTTAGTGGAAGATACATGCATCCCACCACATCCGACTACCATAATACTAGCAACACCTATGAGAAAAATGCATATGAGTGCGAGGAAAGAGGTCTAGAAACTTGACTTGATTCTAACTACACTTCCCAATGTGCCTGACAAGTATAACCGGTGACCGGGTGTAGCATAGGGCAAGCAAGCAATAATAATTTATCATACCACGGGGATCTAGGCTTACCCTACTTCAGTTTTAGGGTTCATTATCTAGCCAACCTAGGATAGTGATTAAAAACCTAAACTAACCAACCTAGACAAACCATTAACCTAGCTATTTACAAGGTTGGGAGCTCTCTTGGGTTGAATCCCCCTAGTTCTAGCCTTTGGATCGATGTTGAGTACTATCCTAGCTCAATCGATTCATTATCCTATTGTTATGAGATTGACTCACTCGGGATGGACCCGGAACGGCCAAGTGATGGATGAGTAGGAGCTCTATTCAACCTAAGTTTCATATATTACTAGGAGACCAATGGAATCAACTCTCTCGGGGATTACCCGGACAATATACGATAGGAGTGACCCGAACACACCAATAGGGGGCTCTAAGGGGATTTTCTCCCTCCTAGGTCAAAGCTCAATTGACAAGTCAAGGAATCCAAACTCATTCAATCGTTACCAAACATCCATCAAATAGATAAATTCATCAATCAAAGATAGAATTTGTCACATATATCAACAATGAAACAAAATCTAGAACTAGGGTTCTTAAACCCAAGAAAAGAGGGTAAGTTTCTGGAGAGAAGAGAGAAATTACAAATTAGAGCCCAAGATCTTCTTCTTCTTCTTCTTCTGGGCATGATTCCTTGCTTCCAAACTTGATCAATTCCTTCAATTCCTTCAATTAAGCTCCAAGATCACTCAAGAACTCTCTCTCTCTCTCTCATTAGAACTCCCCTTTGGTGTTTTGGGTTGAAACCCTAGAGAAAGAAACTATTTCCTCCCAAAAACTAGCTCTCCTTTCTCTCTCCCTGCTGCTGCCTTTAAATTTGCCAGTCAGGGCCCAGTTCACGGTCTTAGACCGTGAACTGACTTGAGGCCAATAACTTGCAAAACCGCTCTAGAAATTGGTCACTTCACGGTCTGGGCTTTCAGTTCACGGACTTAGAGATCGCGAACTGAAACTCCAGCCCGTGAACAGGGCTTAGCCTCCAATTTTTTGCGCGTTTTGACCTCTGAATGACCCGAAACTCGTCCCAGACCTTCCCACGCGTGCTAGGACCAGAAATGTAACAAAACAAGAAAAACCTAAAGTAAAATAGGTCGAGGGACGGTGATCTACTTAGCATAACTGATAAGAAGTGAGGGTTAAAATGTGTACATTTGGTCCCAAGTCACTCCTCCACACTTGAACGTTTGCTTGTCCCCAAGCAAACCAAGTACAAAACAAGGTAAGCTTGCAACTTCTTTTCTCAACAAAATTTTTGGGGCATGTCATAGGGCACAAAACGAATGAATCACAATGGTTATTTGACATCGACCTATGGACAAAAACAACTTAATCATGGAATTCATTACAAAAGACATTCAACTGTATTAAGATTGTGCAAAAGAAGAGTTCTAACATTATTCACAAACCAACACGCAACATGCCTCGACGACTCACTAATCACAATCATTCATGCATTAAGATCACAGCATAGGAACGAACGATCGAGAAACCTAGGTCCTCACTGGGGTA